ATTCCAAAAAGGAATATGTTACATGGGGGTAAAGATCTTTAATCATTTGCCACCAAAAATCAAATCTATGTCTAATGACTTGAAAAATTTTAAAATTCAGTTGACAACATTTTTATTGCAAAACTCTTTTTAAACATGTGATGAATTCTTTAGTAACAAATTTGCTTAGAAATAAGGATAATAGCATAAACAATTTTAATATTGCATAATTTTATGTATAGTGATGTAAGACTGTTTTTTGATATAAATTTAACACTTTTTTTTTTAATCTATTTTAATGATTATAAACTGTATTTGTATTGTACTATATTAATTATGTGACTGGTTCTATATCTATGTATATGGATTTATGGAATGTACAATAAATGAATGAATGAATGAATGAATGAACTCAGTTGTGCAAAATTGAAAAAATTACATTTGGAAAATATGTGTTCTCCAGCCTGGGAAACATTTATGAGTACACCTCTTCAGCCTTGTTTAACATAAAATAAGGAATAATAACAATGTTTTACATGATTTATCAATATTATTTGGGTATGTGGAAAGTTATCAAAGCTTTTCCCTGAATACTGGTTACCTAGAGTGTGGGTGACAGACAACTTCTCGACTGGTATACAGATTATAAAAAGCATTTTGTTTTCTTTCAGTTTCATACATTTGGCTGATTATATGATGCTCCATCTGCTTCATATGTTGTCACGGAATTCACTGGAAGACATGGTTATTGCTTTACGCACACATTACTGTTTTCTACCACCTGACAAGTGCCTGCATAATATTGAAACATGTAAGAAATTGGAAGATCCAAGGCCCATTGATGCTCCTCAGGTAAGCTTAAACTGTGTCTTAAAGATCTTTGAGTGTGTGTCACGATTAGATGTAGATCATGACACCATCATGAGAAAATTACTGGATAGTGACCAGTACAGCCTTCTGAGTTGTAACATGGGCTGCTTCTGCTGGTTACTTGTTTGGTTTACTTGGCATTATGTTCTCCATAACTTGAGGCTGTCTCTAGAATGTACAGTATCACAACTAAGAAAACTTCCATCTTAATAAATTNGAAAGAAGTTCTATTATCTCTCTGTTGATACGGGCACGCAATTTCATAAACAACGGTAGCTTTGAACTGTGTAAGAACAGTACACATATTGTATAGTTGAGATTATAGAACTCGGCCAGTCTCCGCGTTCCAATGCCAGTGCGTCACTTAGGTTATGATAAATTCTTCAGACACAGCTTGAGCAGTGTTGCCGAGTTGCACAAGTGGTCATGCATTCAACCGTTCCAAGAACCTATGAATTCATCTAGAAAAATTAACAAAAATGTGGAATTTCTTATTTGGAGCCAGTGCAAAAATTTTAACATGTTTTATACAATCTGTAAATTACAATATCTGATTCTATATTCTTTCGAGAAAAAAACAGCGTTTATTTCGTTCGATTATCACAGAAATAGCAGAAATAGGAGCAAAATTAGTAAGTGACTACAATTTTAACGGATCTCAAATAGCGGCCCTTTAAAGAAGTCCGTACCGCTACCACAACCTAAGTTTAAAGGGCCGTAGGATAAAGGTTAAGAGTTCTATCACCTGGGATATAATGCTGACATTTTGGAGGAACATATCACCAACACATCGGTTGACTTTTAGTGGACTACATGACATGAAGGTGTTCATAACCACCGCTGTGAGAACCTCAGATCCCACAAGTTGGAATTAGCAGCAAAATCCATAATGTGTTTTTACTGCAATGCTTGTATTTCTTTCAGTTACCCATGTTTGCTGTGGATGTCCTCATTAATCCAGAGGAGCTTATATTGGATCCTTCTGAGCAGGCGTTTCTTAATACTTTTAACCAGGTAATGGATATATGGGAAAAAGCTGTTACAGGAATAAAACCTTTCTTGGCAGATCCGTTTTTCAGCCCCTTTACAGAGTAAGTATACTGCTGTTGCTGAGATTATATCTGTGAATGGCTATCTACACTTACCATAGATACATTTGTTTAAATGTGTATGTGGTAAGTGTAGATGGTTATTTACAATATATAAGTCTGATAATACTTTTTACAGACATGAAATTCAATCAAAATATTAGTAGCAACTGATGTTTAAATTGAGGGAAGGTGTTTTTCCGACACAGAAGAATTTCCTCTTCATACATAACACATGACTTTATTCTAAAACAGTATGACTACATAGCACGCAACAACCATCTTGCCACACTGGAAACTGCACAGCATTCTGGGATACAAAAAGACAAAGAAACTACAGTTTAGTGAGTCAGTTCCATGACTCAGAGGAATATATAATAGTGATTGTGTAATGTTAGAATTGCTATACAACACCCCTCCTCAATTCTTCATTCCACCAATAACTTTGAGATCATACCAAACATAACACAGACTTAATTACTCAAATAAAGATTACAACTAATTAACTTCAGTCATTCCTATTTTATTCTTTAGTTTTGAAAACTTAATGAGTGGTAATGGTTTGGTGAAGAAGTCAGCCTCTTGATTTTCCAAGTTTATGTAGTTAACTACTATAATTCCTTGTTCAACCCAGTACCTTATAAACCTATACCTAATGTCCATATGACCTAGCCTTTTCTGACCCCATTCACCAGTAATCATGTGTATACACTACTGACTGTCTTCATGCATGATTATTGGAGTTTTCACCTTCACACCCATTTCTTCCAGTAACTTATTTACCCAACGCAATTCTCTTAAACCCTCTGACAAAGCATTAAATTCTGTTTCTGTTGATGACAAGGCAATTGTGCTCTGTTTCTTAGTGTATCAATCAACTGTATTTCCATGTACCTTAAGTACACATCCTGATGCTGGTTTCCTATCTTCATGTGATGCCCAGTCAGCATCATCAAATGACATTAGTTCACCATTATCATTACTTTGATATTGCAACCAACAGTTCTAGTCCCATTCAGATATCTAAGAATTCGTTTCAAACCCTTCCATTGAATTTCTGTTGCATAATTTTGAAATCTTCCATAGAAATTTACTGCAGTACAAATATCTGGTCTTGTAATTAATGCTGTATACAACAGACTACCCAATAACTCTCTGTACGGTTTCACTCCTATAATTGATTCAAATTCTAAGTTCTCTGAAGGAGATATCTCTATAGGTGTATTAACTGGTTTGCACTTTTCCACGTTAAATTTCTTCAAAACTCTGTCTATATAAGCTGATTGATCCAAATATAGATTTCCATCAGTTTGAGGAATTCAGATTGGAAGGAAATATGACAGATCTCTCATATCTCTCATTTGAAATTTCCTCATCATGATCTCTTGAGTTTTTACCAACTCAACCATACAGTTACTAGCAATTATAAAATCATCTACATACAGTAGCAAATATAAGATGGTCTGGTTCTTATTATACACATACAAGCATCTGTCAGCATCACACTTTCTAAAACCATTCCCTTTGACAAACTCATCAGAATTATTATTCCAGACTGCTGATGCATGTTTCAGTCCATACAATGATTTCTTTAACTTCCACACCTTATTCTCACAGTTTACAATGCCATCTGGAACTTTCATGTATATAACATCTTTTAACTCCCCATGTAAAAAGGCGTTCTTTACATCAAGTTGGTGAGCATGCAAATTGTTTCTACTTATTATGGCTAATAATATCCTTAGACTTACAAAACTAGCTACTGGCGAATCGGTTTCTGTATAATCTTCTCCCCATTCCTGAGCACGCCCTTTTAGGACCAATCTGGCGTTGTATCTATCTCTCTCCCCCTTTATAGTAAATACCCACCTACAATCTAATGGTTTCCTTTCTTCAGGTAAGTTTACTATTTCCCAAGTTTTGTTTTCCATTAATACTTCCAGCTCTTCTTTTATAGCATTTCTCCATTCCATCCTATCGCTCCTAACTTCTGTCACTATAACTCATAGGAACATCTTCAGGACATTGCACTAAGAGCATAATTCTCCAGATATGCAGACCTTCTAACTCTTCTGCCACTTCTAGCCACAATTGGTTCTCTATCTCGTACCTCCTGGTCTATCATCTCATCTCTCTCGTTCTCCACTTTTTCATTATCACCCCCCTTCTGTACTACATATCCTGTGTCCCTTCATTACTTACACCATTATCAAAAACACTAATTTTCCAGTGATCTTCCTCTGTATAGAACTTTGAATTATCATTAAGCCTAGTCAACCTTTTGTTTTCATCAGAGATTACATCACATGCTACAATCATTTTCTTTTTATCCAGACTCCACAGTCTGTATCCATTGTCAGCATATCCTAACAGTACATTTCTTGCTTCAACTAGCAAACTTATATTTACCTGCATCTTAGGTTTGCATACTTAAGCTATGCACCCAAATACTCTCAGTTTCTTAGTTTGGTTTTATACCATACCACCTTTCTGCAGGGACAGTATTATCTGGTAAGGCCTGTGTCAGACATCTATTAATTAACCTTTAACATCGGAATGACACATATATATGACACAAGCAGCAACCAAGTTGGCTGAATGGCACATATATCTCTTTGGGAGTGCTGACAGTTTGACCTTGGGTTTGAAACCAAAACAAACCTATGTGAGGTCATGTCAGTGGTTTGAACAAGGAAATCGTTTATCTCGGTCCTGGTTTCGAAACTATTTATGTTTATATATGGCTGTTTATGACCTGGTCAGCCAAATATAGCCAGCTTTGTTCTGAGAACTGAAGAGGAAATATTCGTTGGTGCTTGCAGATCAGTGCTTCGAGAGCTTCCAAGGAAGTGTGACGTATTCAAGGATTGGTTTTCAGTGGCGAATTATCAGTTAGGAAGTCAGTGTTGGATTGTGTAATATTTCTTTTTCACTTAAAAAGTTAGTGACAGACTGTCATATATTTCTTTTTATATTATTTTGTTTCTTAGAAGAGGTATAAAGCCACTGAGCCAGTATTAATTTGTGAGTAAAAGGCATCTTCGTCACTGTGACTTTCGTATCAGTGTCGGACTGGCACCTTTTCCACTACTATTACAATTATTATTTTTTATTGCTAGTGGGGTGGGACTAAGTCCCTTGTACTGCTGCCACTTCTGGCCTATTGTACCATACTATTGCAATTACTTTGCATCACTATTTTGTGAATCTTTGTCAATCAACATAATTTATTCAATTTTGCTGGAACCCCCCTCCCCCAAGATGGAATCTCAAAATCGTGCCCGATATTCCAAACTTCTCGATGCAGAAGAACTGGAGGAAATATTGATGGAAGAGGAATCTGATGAAGAGTTAGAAGATATCAATGAGTTCATTGAACCTCGAGCAAATATGCTGTCATCGTCATCATCATCAGACGAGGCAGTGGAAAAGGAAATTAGGTTTCGTGATAGAAGACCCGGGTATTCGTCAAAGGTACTAGACTTCACTGGTCCTCTGAGTGGAATCAACAGATCAGCTGCTCCCAATATAAATGCACAGTCCTCTCTTTTTTCCATTTTCATTCTGTTTTTCCAACAAATATTCCAAATCTTCTTACAAGAAATCAGCAGATATTTCCACCAATTTATGACATGCCAAAATGCTCCAGGCCCTTCTGTTCAACCGCCTGATGTTACAATTTAAGAGATATATAACTTCTTGGCAATAATTATTCAAATGAGACACCTTCAAACATTATTGGTCAAGAGATGAGCAATACTACACTCCATGTACCGTAACACCATGGTACAAGACCGTTTCTTCCATATTTTGAGATTCCTACATTTTGAAAATAATGAAGCTCTCCCAATCGAGATGACCCAGAATATGATAGACTGTGGAAGATTAGAAACATTTTTGACAATCTCAACAACAAATTCTGTGAACTTTACAATCCAGCAGAACGTCTTGCTGTTGATGAAGTCATAGTGTTGTTCAAAGGAAGAGTGATTTTTTGTCAGTATATTCCAAAGAAACGCAAAAGATTTGGTATAAAAATTTACAAGCCTTGCGATTTTTTGGGGTATACTTATGACATGACAGTTTATTTGGGCAAACAAAGGCAACTTGCAACAGAAGAAATTACATCGACACATGGAATTGTTCTCCAGCTAATTCGAAGAATAGAAGGCTTGGGACACAAAATTTACATGGACAATTATTTCAGTTCTCCTGCTTTATTTGACGATCTTTTAGACAGGAAAATAAATTCATGTGGCACCGTTCACAATGATAGGCGTGGAATGCCACAAGAAATTCGGCCCAAGTCAATGAAATTGAAAAAAGGGGATATTGTTACAAGAGTCAAGGGGCATCTAAGTGTTGTTCGTTGAAAAGACAAGTGTGATGTGTATGTTCTGAAGAATTTGCACCCTCCTCCATTGGAAGGCAACTTCCAAGATGAATCTGGCCATGCTGTCAAACCCCATTGAATTGAAGACTACAATGCACACATGGGCTTTTTTGATAAATCTGACAGGATGGTAAACAGTTATAGCACTGCTAGGAGGACATGGAAGTGTACAAAGAAATTGTTTTTACACCTTCTAGATATGACTATTCTAAATGCATATCTATTACACAAGTCATGTGGTGGAAAAATGACACACAAAAAGTTCCGAGAAATATTGGTGCAGGATTTGATTCTTCAGTCGCATGAGGCGAATATCACAGTCAGTGGCGTTTCTTGGTNAAAATAAATTCATGTGGCACCGTTCACAATGATAGGCGTGGAATGCCACAAGAAATTCGACCCAAGTCAATGAAATTGAAAAAAGGGGATATTGTTACAAGAGTCAAGGGGCATCTAAGTGTTGTTCGTTGAAAAGACAAGTGTGATGTGTATGTTCTGAAGAATTTGCACCCTCCTCCATTGGAAGGCAACTTCCAAGATGAATCTGGCCATGCTGTCAAACCCCATTGAATTGAAGACTACAATGCACACATGGGCTTTTTTGATAAAT